ATGTTTTAGCCTGGCCAAAGTGACAGGCAGGTTTGTGTTCATTTCTAAAATACATCCCCAGGTGTAAATCGGAGCATCCTGAGGGCTGAGGTGGCAGAGGGGCCGTGTTTGAGTGGTTGCTAGGTGACGTGTTCTGGAATGGGAAGTGTGTTCCATGCAGGGTGTTTTAACGGCTATCAACAGCAGCCGTTTTAAACTGCTGCTAACGATTACCCCGTGTCCCCATCGGCCTCCTCCAAAAAGAAACTGCAGAGCTACTGCAGAGTGGGACAGACACAGGGCCAGGAGAAACCTGCCCACAGCAGCTGGGCTGCTGGAGCGGAGGCTCCCCCTCCCCAGGCACTTCACACTGGAACAGCTTTTAAGAGCCAAAAAGGATGACGACGGTGCCACCATGGACTCCAGCGCTAGAGGTAAAAACTCAGTTGGGTGACACTGGGACTGGCCACTGGTGGTGCCTCAGCGCTGTTTGTTCTTGAGAGCATAGGAAAGGGGGGCAGGTGACTGTTCAAACGCAGCCAAGTGAGGTGAGCAAGCCCAGCCCTGCGTTTGGCTGTGGCGATGCAGCACAGGGACCCCTGCAGCACCAGGCCTGTGCTGCCCCAAGCCCTCGCCATGCACAGATGTCCTGAGATGACATCCTGATCTTAGAGGGTCAGGACCACCGGATGTAAGTGTCAGGCAGATTTTTACAGCGCTTCTGTCTGGGTGGTAGGATGGGGTGGGGCTTGTGCCATTGCTGATGGTCTCATCTTCTGGTACTGCATCCCCGTGCAGCCCAGCTCCCCTGCAGGAGGTCAAGGTGCTGCTGGTGCTCTGTACCCAAGGTCACGGCCATGTCTGATCCAGCATCAGTGCACAGCTGCAGGGGTACAGAGGGGCTGTGTGTACCACAGTGCTACCCCTCCACTGACCCCCTCCGTGACCCCGCAAAGACCCTGCTGTGCTTGGAACAAATTTCACCTCTGAACAGAGCAGGGTTTTTGTAAGCCCCCGCCATAGCCCACTCCATGTCTGTTGCCCTGCACTGTAACCCACAGCTGGGCACTGGGGGCAGTGACCAGTCTGCAGGAACTGCAGCCTTCCCTCGAGACAGCAGCTTGTGGGACAAGCAGTTAAAACTGACAGAGTTGTGATTTATTAACATGAATTAAAATGCCCAACCAGTGCTGCAATGTGACAGTATATTAAAAAAAAATTAAAGATCATATACTGTACTACTTTCACAAAGATCACACGTCCTGGTTTTTGCAAAAGAGACTTAGTATGTACAATACTATATCAAATGAAAGATGCTTTAAGCAATTTTACAAGCAAAAGAAATACAGTATTTACAGCACTCGTCTGAGACATTAGAAACGGTCTATACATTAAATTACATTTTCTGCAAATAACTGATGAAACAAAAAGCCATGTCCACACCAAAACTATAAAAATTTGTATTGCATTGGTTCCTATCTCTATGCACACAAAGAACTGCTGACAGGAGAAAAATGGGGAAAAAAAATTGTTAGTGCCTCACTTAGCCTGTGTACTTATTTAATTACATATGTATAAAAGTAATATAGAAAACATTCACTAAATGAATTTAACTGCAACAATAAAACTTTAAAGATTATGCAGCATCAAACCTACTGCCAGAAAAAACAGCTGGAATGTTCACTTACAAAATAAAAAGAAATACCTAATACTGGCTTAACAGCACGTTTTCAGGAATCTTAAAAAGCAAAAAATGGAAAGAATACAATGAGAGAGCACTGGTGTCTGCTTTTATACAAAGTATCATGTACAAGCTTTAAAAAGTACCTCGAACAGGTACATAGGAAATATACACAGTTTATATTACACAACATTTTAAAAATGTTTAGAACTAAAGGGATCCATTTTAATGCCACCCCGACCCATGGTAATTGTTCTGAAAAGTGGGGGGCACCTGTGCTCTGTGGATGGGGATCTGTCCCGGCACAGGGGAGGCCTGCGGCCCCTGCACGCCGTGGGGCAGGGCCACAGAGCCGGGGTGCGGGCAGAACCCCGACGCAGGAGGTGTCGCAATACTGCTTGGTCCTTGGGGGGGGATGTGAGGCCCCTGACCGGGGAGCGCGCAGTGAGGTCCTGTTCCAGCAGGCTGATGTTGAGGGCCAGGGCCCAATGTCGTGTGATGCGGGGCTTGTGAGGAGTAGGAGGACACGCTCGTGTGAGCGCTTGCAGGAAAATGGGGGGGTCCTTGATGAGAGGGATGGTGCAACCCTTGTGCTGACGCGGGGTGATGCCCTGAGCCCAGGACGTTGGAGGGCGGGGGCGGCGGCGGGGGAGGCGCGGAGTTTACAACATGCTGGTGTTGTGCTTGCAAACCTTGGTGTCCGGTTGAAGGATGGGGAGCTTGGTGGTGGGGGAGAGGACCCGGCGGTGGG